AGCTTGGCCAAGTTCCTTATAGAGGCTAGAGATATGCATGTCCAACATGTGACTGTATCCATATGTATTTTTTTAAAGGTATTTCTGGAAAGTTGCATGGTATTTTTTTTTCTCATAAAAAAAAATGAGTATGCTTCCCTGGCCAGGTGACTCAGTTGGTTGAAGTGACGTCCCGAACACCAAAAAGGTTGCAGGTTCGATTCCCAGTCAAGACAAATACCTAGGTTTCGGGTTCGATCCCCAGTTGGGGTGATACAGGAGGCAATTGATACATGTTACTTTCTCACATCAATGTTTCTCTCTCTCTCTCTCTCTCTCTCTCTCTCTCTCTCTCTCTCTCTCTCTCTCTCTCTCTCTCTCTCTCTCTCTCTCTCTCTCTCTCTCTCTCTCTGTATATATATATATATATCCTCTCTCTCTCAAGTCAATAAAAACATATCCTCAGGTGAGGATTTAAAAGTGAGCATGCTAAAGACCTTATTGAGATAAAGATAAATCAGGTAATAAAATTTCTCGAAGCAAAGAATCCTGAATAGAGAATCTGTATATATCACAGTACTCTTATTTCTAAGCATCACTGACCCTCATCTCTCTAACTTAGAGGCACTTCAATGTCACACACTCTTTGGAACAGAGTCATCACTGAGACTCCTTGTCTGGGAGTGTACAGAACCAGTGAAAAACGAGTTTTTACTACCTCACCTGCCCTAAAAGCGGGACACATGCCATGAGCACATTCAAATACGTGCATGGCGCACACCTACTTATCTGTGTGCCCACTCTGGGTAATCAGCTGTGTAAGATGGACTACCTTCTCCACATCAGACTAGTCCTGTCTTCATCTCCAAAAACTTTTATTTTCCTCAGAGGACACCTCATAAAGGTACCCAAGTGTGGGGACACGGTACCTCTCTGTGCTGTGCTGTGACAGGCGACATCTAGAACGGCTGTGTGGACCTGCATGTCACACTTTATTGAAGGCAGCAGGAGTCCTTCCTCAGAGGGCTGCCTGATTGGTTAGTGGGGAACGGATAGAGGGAAGGGAAGAATAGCTGATAAAGAAATCATCCAACGCAGCTGTGCAGGATTGCAGCTCAGGGGGTGCAGGTAGGGAGAGGGAAGGAGAGGCCGGGGTCCTTTCGGTTGTTGCATTTGAAGTGGGGAGGCGGCCTGCAGTGAGCAAACTTCAGATGTGAAGAACAAAAGGCCAGGTTTCCCCCTTGCACCTCCCTCTCCCTTTCTCTCAATACTGACTGGAGGAGATGTCTCAAGCTGAAGCCCTACAGAATTCCATTTTGACAACCTGAGTTTATTAGTCAGGTTTATACGAGGCAAGGCCTTCCTTATTGTGTACAAAACAACTGAACGGGGGAAAGTTGCCAATCTGTGCTTGGGGGACATTTAGAACGATCTCTGTTGTATACAGCCGAGTCAGGGTACATCAGAATAACCAATATGTTATATGTTCATCCAACATCTTCAATCGTTAAAAAAGAAATAAAAATTTGTAGTTGATAAACATTAGTATGGATTAGGACAATGTAAACATTTTTCTCCTGTTCCTCTAAATGAATACTTTGCAGGGGAAGGTAGTTCCTAAGCTGATGGTGGATCTGAGGTTACAGTTACGGGAGCACTTAAGCGCCCATTGGCACAGCAAGATTCAAAGCCCTGGTAGGCTTCAAAGAAACACTTTTTTTTTTTCTTCTTCTAGAACTCTTTGCTTTCTAGTAAAGCTGCAACCACAATGTTCTCTCTCTTAATGCCACCATAAAAAATCAAAACACTTTAAAACAAATTGATGTACTCTTTAATACAGTCACCGCATCATCACAGGACCCTTGCACCCTGCATGGCGACAACCGTGGGGATGCCTACCACACATCTCTCTCTTTGTTGCCTGCTTCAATGCTTAAAGAAAAATGGAGAGAGAGTGTGTCTCTCAACTGAGATATGGGCACCTTTGATTGACAAGACCTAATCAGCTTATCTCCACACTAATAAAGTTGGGGCCTGTGGAGCTGGTCTGTGCCCAGCACCGAGTGAACTTCGCCTAGCCAAAGCCTCCCGGGCCAGGTCTCGGGCTCTGCTTCTCAAAACTGGTTCAGATCATTTCTTAATGGGCTATTTTCATCTTGATAAGCCTCCATAGTCTTCTCCGGAACTTTTATTTCTTTTAGGTTACTATTTATTAAAGGGGATGGCTTTTTTTTTTAATTAAAGGATGACAGGATTCTCTGCACATTATGTAACAAAGAGTGCCCTTTCATGATTTCTGCTGTATAATACTCTGATACTGTGAGATGCTCAATTCCTTCTGATGGAGCCCCAAAGCTGACCAAGCCATAATCTATCTTCATTCCAGTACCTTGTGTTGCTAACTTGCTCATGTCAGACACCCACTAAATGTGTCCTGGCTGATGGGTGGGAAGGAACATAAGGCCAGGAAACATGCAGGAACTGGATTTGGAGGGAGAGGGGAACACACACATGCATGTATACACACATGCACATGTTTTTTTCTTCAGGTTTACTTGGAGGAGGGCCTTGCAAACCAAGGATTTTCCATATAGTTTAAGAACAACGTCTTTGTTCTTACCTGTAATTGCTATGTAAAGACCAAACTCAAGAGGTGATGTGTAAATAAAGTTATTAAAGGACCAGGTGCTTCTTTGACGACACAATGAAGACCTGGAATAGAAACCCCTCTTTACATGGGCCAACATGAGAGTAAAACACACAGTGGACATTTTGATCTTAACTTTCATATGCAGTTATCTAAAGAGAGAGATGGGCTCACTGGACAAAGCAAGCTTTATAGAAAGAACTCCAGGGGAGGGGATGGGCTAGAAGGGATCAATGAGGGGGAAAAGGGTACATCTGTATAACTTTCAACACTAAAGATAAATTTTAAAAAAGGAAAGAACTCCAGTATAGGGAGAATTTTCAAAATTATAATTTTTCAAGCATAAAAAAACATGCATATATACAAATTTGTACCTCTCACTACATATAAATGGTCGTTAAAACCATTCAGTAATGCTGCTTTCAAGCTGCAATATATCTTGTTTATTATAACCACCTGTATCAAACCAGATGATTTTAAGTATATTCCCCAAATGCAGTTTTCTACAGATTACAGGAAACCTTGAGCAATATTTTTCATTCAGATTGTAGTCTTCATGCTGTAATTGCTTTATACAAAGCCCACTCCAACCTTATCACTCAATATTATCTTCACTGCTGAACAACGGAAGATGATTTTGCAATAAAATTTAATTTACAGAGCTTATTTTCCACTAATCTTCTAGCAGAGGAAAAATGAAACACGCCAAGGTACACACTCCAAGCTCTGACCCTAATGGCGTTTTTTCTTTCTGGACTAGTAAGACCCCAAACATCTCAATGTAATCATACTGAAATGTTGGCATATTTTAATTGTCATAACATCGTATCTTAGAAAAAGAAGTAAAACAGGCTATTAGGAATATGTATGGAAATAAGCTTCTTCAAATGATAAAGTTCCCTTGGGGTAAGCACTTTTTTTCCCCATAAGAAAGGAAGTAATATAAAAATATGGGGCTAGTAAGGCTATTTTATTTCCAACTATTAATCTACCAATCATGGTCAACAGTATTTGAGAGTTTTAAGTAAAAAACTTAAAGCAGCAATAAATAGGGACTAGACATCAATATTCAGTTTTCTGTACCAGATGACAAAGTCCAGTCTGTCACCTCGAAGGCTCACTCCAGCTGTGAGATTTTAAAATATAAATGTATAGAAACTGCAAATTTTGGAAAAGTAAATTAATAGTAGAAGGTCTATTTCTATAGGCCATTTCGCCTCTATCTATCATTGATGGCCTAGAAAGCATTCATCACTTGAAAAAAAGCTTATTATTATTCTTTTTTATATTGAGGACTCCATAACAATGAACTAATAGGATATAAGCCAAAAATGAAATAGCTTCGTTATGCACTGGTGCAAAATACTGAAAGAATCCTCATGAAAACTCAAATTCTTCATCAAAATGGTTACATATTTTCAAAAAAAGATGAATGATCCTGAATGGGATGAGAGATTAGGGCTCTATGCCTGGGCTGGATGAGACTAGCACTTCCTAAACCAGATTTAAATTGCTCTGCCTCTTTTTAAAGTTATACCATAACAAGGCCAAAGTGATACTGAATCATTTATGAGGTTTTTAAGAGTTGAAATATCAGAGTCATATATGTGCAGCAGTATTGTTCTGACATTTGAATTTCAGCAATAGGCAATTCTGAGACATTTCAAGTTATGTAAAACTTGACATTTCCATGTTAATATACAAAACAATGATGATGTGAAAAGCCACTTCTCTACCAATATTTAAAACTTAAACACTCAATAAAACTTTAGAAGCATAGACCTCTAAAATTGAAACCCACACAAGAAGTCCTTACCTAAAAGCTTTTAATGTTTATCCACATAAAAAGTACATGCTGAACATTCATCTTTTTGCACTGCTTTTTTTCATTTATACACAGAAAAAGCAAAAAACATTACTAATTGCTTTGTAGACTACTTATTTCCAATTTAACTTTCTTTTCATTTCGAGAGAGAGAGAGAATATTCCTACCATGGACCACAGATCACTTAAGATTGCTTCTCAAATGTTAAAAACTATATTGGATACAATATAATTAAGTATATTTCACTTTCCTGAAGAGCATGAATCTCAGCCAGTTGTAATTTTATAAGAAACTAAAATGGAACTATTCACGAATGACTACCATGTCCAATGATCATCTCCTCAGACACCCAAACTAAAATGTTTTGACATTATGATCTCTTGGTAGAAACAGTAAAGACATGTTTTTTGAAAGGCTGAAATAAGTAGGGTAATAATGAAGAACAAAATGTATAACATTTTCAAGCTGCAAATTAACAAGCAGATATTGACTTTTCTTTGAGGTCAATAACAGCTCTTATTGATCTAAAAAGTTAATACCTACTAAGGTCAATATAAGATCTCAAGGGTCACCACATCTGGATTGGAACTTCCACTTCCTTTCATATATGAATATTGCTGAAATGGGCACAACTGTGTTTGGAGAAATCAGGGAAATGTCATTATGATGCCAGAATAACCAAAGAAGGCCAAGGAAACTAAACACAGAGTTTTCAAAGTCTATTACTAGAGACTTTTCAGGGACCTTGACCTTGAGATGTATGTAAATCCTAATAGTGTTACACAATTGGGGCCATTAAGTAAGGAGGAACAAAAATAACTGAAAATTATGTTTTTAATTACAAATGTTTGTTCATAGTATTGACATATGAAATCTCTCGCTCTTGCTTTATATTATTTGAGAAATATAATGTGGAATAAGCCTTCAAAGTAAATATTAGGCACTTTTAAATATGGAGAAAGTTATTTTTTAATTAAAATTAAACAGTATCATTTTAGGAAATTTAGAAGAGCAAAAATTATCATATCAATAGTCTTATAAAACCATTTTTATCATTATCATACAGTCTGTTGTAATTTTCTAGACTGAAAAATATACTGACTATTGATGATCATTCTAATAAATAAAATGGTCTACTCATTCTTTTTCATCTTTGGATTTTCTTTTTTATTATTTTATTAAATGTGTTGGGGTGACATTGAATAAAATCATTTAGTTTTAAAGTGTACAATATATAACACATCATCTGTATATTGCATTGTATGTTTACCACTGAAAGTCAACTCGCCTTCTGTCTCACCTGAAAGACAGCACATGGCTGGTGGGAGGGGGGGGGGGCGGGAACCACGTGAACATTAGATCCATGTTCCCCGGCATCCTAAAATTGAGTATTTATTAGCTCGATCCTTTTCACAGCCAAGTAAGTGTTCATATTGTTCTTTTAGAATTACTAGAAGCACTGAAGGAGGGAGAGGAAAGAGAGAAGGAACATACTCTCCTTGAGCATTTACTGAGTACCAAAACCTGGGCAAGACACTTTCAATAGGCATGGGTCCAGTTAGTTACCAGAGAGGCTAAATGTTCTACAGTGATAAAACAGAGGTCGGGTCTGTGGCAATTGAGTGTTGTACTATGGGCATTTAATAACTATGAAGATACTGCGATTGCAATGTACTTTAAAAAAATAAATTTCTTTTAAAACAGTTTTAGATTTACAGAAAAATCAGAATAGTACAGGGAGTTCCCACACAGTTAACACTCAGTTTCCCCTATTATTACCATCTTACATTACTATGCTACATTTGTCACCATTAAAGAACCAATACTGATACTTATTGTGAACTAAAGGCGATATTTTATTCATATTTCCTTCGTTTTCATCTGATGTCCTCAAGACACTTTGTCTAATGTTTCAGGACACCATCCAGGATACCACATTAGAGTCAGTCACTTGTTTCCTTACGTTGGTCTTGGCTATGACAGCTTGCAATGTTCTTTGAGCACATAGTTTAGAAATGATGTAAATAAATTTGCCGACTTGTATCTATTGTCAACACTTAGATGAAAGCAGGAGCAGCAGAATAATCTTTTGTTACAGATCTAAGGAATATACATTTGAGAAGCAAATGGAGATAAATGTCTGATAGAGAGGAAAGCAGATGATACTGACTTTTTAATGTGTCTGTTAATAGAACATAGATAAGTTTCACTTGTCACAAGTTCTAGATTACAACCACTAACCTGACCTGTGCCATCTACTCCTCCACCTCTCCCTATCATGTGGTTACTAGCCAGGGTTTTAATTGATGGAGTATAAGGCAATGAAGTGGGCAAGGAATAAATACACTGCCCATTTGTACTGGTTCTCTCTCTCTCTTTTTCTTTTTAAAATATATTTTTATTGATTTCAGAGAGGAAAGGAGAGGGAAAGAGAGAGAAACATCAATGATGAGCGAGAGTCATCAATCAGCTGCCTCCTGCATGCCCCCACTGGGGATCGATTCTGAAACCCTGGCATGCGCCCCAACCAGGAATTGAACTGCGACCTCCTCATTCATAGGTCGATGCTCAACCACTGAGCCACACTGTAAAGTTGTGCTTAGAAAGCGGTTGTCCAGGTGGAAGTATGTTTCCTAGTCCCCTTCCATGTAAGTGGCACCATTCAACTAGTCCTTGCCCGTGAAATGTCTGTACAATCAATGTGTGTCAAAAGCTAACTATGGGGCTTTATGGGTGGTGTGTGTTCTCCATTCTCTCTTCGCTGGGCTAGAGCCTGAATGTCCAGGACTCCAAAGCCTCAGGGCAGGGCAGAACCACCAAGTGGAAAAGCCTGAACTTCTGAATCAGCACACGGAGGCTGTCTGCTCACTACGGACACTTGTGTTGAACTGTTCCAAAGGTGAGAAGTAAACTTGACTTCACCCAGCTACTGGGGCATTTGGGGTTTATTTATCACAGAACCTAGAATAACTACGCAATGTAGCAAGTGGAATCTGACTTCTACTGAGCACTCTGATGGACCAAACATGTGCTGGGTATTTTATATAGTTTACCTTATTTGGACTAGACTCTGCTCAAGTTAAACACTGTATGATTATCAGCAGGTTACAACAACCTCCCTACAGAAGACCTGCAAACATTTTTATATGTTAGGAAGCAAATACTTGGAAAGGCTAATGAACTTGCCCAAGATCTCCCAGTTATTATGTGACAGATCTGAGATTTGAACCTGGGTATGTTTAGTTACAAAGATCCAAACACATTCCATTTTGCTTCACTGCAGGTGAAAGACAGGTGATCTGAATTGATGCTTGGATTAAAAAAATAATTCCTATGCATTTTCTATGTGTACCTTTTTTTTTATCCTCACAGGAGAGCAAATGTTATAGATGTGTTCTCCCTACTTTTTATGTGGTGGGCATGAGGTCCTAATTTACAAGGGGTGGGTGGGTATGGGATGATTAGCTCGCTCGAGTTTGTTAGCATTTTCCAGATCAAGACAATGTTATACAAAGATGCCGAAGAGAAAGATACACGCCACCTTTGTAACCTGCTGATAATCTCACGGTGTTTAATTTGAGCAGAGTCCAGCCACTCACGGAGGGCATGGAAGCGTGGTTGCTCCACAAGGTTTACAGTTAACAAAGGAGAGAACAGAAAGACTGACTTGTTCGCACAACAGTAGGAATTTAAAGACCTATATGGGGTGTGCATTCTACAGGAAGCCCAAGCAGGAAGAAAAATGAAACGCTGTACCTTGTACACAGCAATAAAAATGAGGGGGTTCATTGTAGTAAGAAAATGCACAGCTGGCAGGCAGTATCAGTGGGGCAATAAGATATTTGGTCCATCTTCATGCTTACCTTTTTGGAGTCACAGTGTTTAAAAAAAAAGGTCTCCTTTTTATATTAACAAAGTCACTCCAGTCAATCTCTTTAACTCACCTACATGAAAAATTTAGATGACTTTGTAAAAGTCCTATGCTAACACCAGTGAGAAAAATTGGTCCATCCTTTAAATTTGTGCAGCTTTCTTAAGATGGAGTTTTGTTTAATAACAGGTCCTAATCACCAACAGGTCTGCACAGAGCTTCGAACATTATGGGTAATTCATAGATATGCTAATGAGGAAGAGGGAAACCAAATGAAACTTAATAAGCCCTTCTGGTTGGTGAAAATTGATGGCATTTGAGAAAGTATTCAGGGGATCAGTGTACTCAATCTCAACAAATAATTTCCATTTCAAATAAGTTAACTATTGATTGATACAATGAGGTAATAGATATAAAAGTAGTCTGAAATTTTCAAAGTAGCTTATACAGTGTTATTTCTAATATGAGTGTTATTATTTTTAGCACATGCTACAAGGTTAAGATTTACCAAAGTTTATAATGTAAAGCATTAAAAATGTTCAAATGTATTAAATAAAAAATAATTACACAACTGACTATGAAATGGATAGGATAATTGGGGAGGTTACTCTGAAACAGTAAAAATTTGAGAAAAAATGTTTTTAAAATTAATGTTATCCCTTTCAAGTATACTTAATAATTAAGAGAAGCATTAGAGCCCTGACCGGTGTGACTCACTTGGTTGAGCATCATCCTATACATCAAAAGGTTGCTGGTTCGATTCCCAGTCAGGGCATATGCCCAGGTTGTGGGCTTGATCTCCATTTCTGGGGTGTGCAGGAAGCAACCCATGAACTCGCATCAATATTTCTCTCTCTCCCCCTCCCTTCCTCTCTTTCTAAAAATCAATAAAAATCTTTTTTTTTTAAAAAAGCTAAGCATTAGATAATCCATAGGAAACATTCTAGAAAGTCTCATAAGCAACGTATTCGCCCAGAGCCTGACTGCTCATGGTTTACCCACTTCCCCTTCTCCTCCTCTATTTATCCCAGAAGGCCCACCTCTTCTGAGTCTTCCAAGTCTATTATTAATAGACTTAATAATTTCCTCCACCCTGCTTCAAATACACTAATTATGTTTATCATGGGGATTTATTGATATGTATTTCCCTTACAGATATTTTGCCAAGACATTCTAGCTTATTAAAGGTACTTTATATTCTAAGTGCCTAGGACAGTGGCAGGATGTGTTCCTTCCTAAATTACATAAAATCCATTACCCCTTTCAGGTGTGTTGACTATCTCCCCTACCTGACTCACCAGTGCAAATCTTGCTAATCATATTAATTTAAGGCAGCATTTTTTTTGCCATTTCAGAGATCAACTTAGCCCAGTCCAGATCTAATTTCATAGGAGCCAATTATTTGTTTTCTGAATAAATGTTAAAGTTCCACTGTGCTGCATTCCAGTGCTGTGTGTTGCAAACAGCATTGAAAATGGAAATAAAGAAAATTAGCTCTATTGTAAAGGTATATTTTATGTTGACATAAATACCAACCTTTGAATGTGGACCAGGATCTTAGATCATTGGCTGTGATGAGATTACCAACAAGGAACATAATGGCAGGCTTACCCAACAACATGCTTATTTTTCCTCCAAAGGGACAGTCTTCAAAAAGCTTTTCTCCTTGTTTGGCTTTAGGGAGGGTCCTTCCTCTCTCTAAATAAATAGGTATTTATTTAACTATGACTTCGAGTTTATATCTCAAGATGCAAAAGGCCAACACTGTGGCACACATGAATGACGACCCACCATGACAGTCTCTTTGATAATGACTTTACTTGGAAAAACATATTCTTCAATAAAAAAATTATTTTTTTAGTGTTGACTTTGTTCTCTTAACGGCAACGTTGGAAAACACTGTAGCCCAACAGGAAATACAGGCGAAAGCTTCAAATGGAGAGAGAGCACACACAAAAAGCCATTTTTAAAGCTCATGTCTGTCAACTTTTCCACTTGATATAAGTCGTACACAAAGTCTTAGCCCAACGAACCCATGCTGTGAAAATTCTGTAGTGCCCACCTCAGAAAATGCTGTTAAGTACATAAACACTGCTGAAAAGAAGACTTCTGGGCACTGGAAATCGGAGTCAAAGGGAAAATAAACCTGATTAAAAAAATTCCCAAGGAAAGTTATACAAGCACAGTGCAACAAGGTCATAAGCTTAACCATCCTCTGTTATAACATTTGAAAGTAAATTGGCATTCCAGCCATCTGCTTTGGTCGTCTTTCTTTTTCTCAACTCACAGAGATGCCACGGAATAAGAATGGCTTCATGTGTGTCTCACAGACCAACTGGAAAAGTGATAGGCAGTATGGCTTAAGACACCTTTAAAAATGAGTATAATACTTTTTAATGGATTAAAAATGAACCCTATGCATTCACATGGACCTCCTAAGGAGAAGGTCCTCCAAATAGGGCTTAAATGGCATCCTTTTCTTACCACTGGGAAGTGCACCAATATCTCAGAGAACCTTACAAAGTAAACTTAAGCGCAACTTGAAAATATTCTTTAAGAGTTTCATCCAGAGGACAACCTCCTCTGTTCTTTCCAGAGCAGAATCCCAGCTTTTTGAGATGTGAGACTTGAAATAGGGTTTTAATTCTAAAGTAAGTGATCATTACACAGTACAAATTATTATTTTACCACTGGGTAGACTTTTTAAAACTCACAGAACATGGTCAAGTAATCCTTCTCAGCATTAAAAAATGCATATTCAAGCAGAAATATCTTTAATTCTGAAAGCATAACCACATGGTCCACCACTCAAAATAATGAATGAAGAAACATTTTCTAAAGAAAACTTTTCTGTCAATAAGTTTAATTTTCTGTAGAAATATATTTTCTCTAAAATAGATGTGCTTAGATAAAAATAGTTAAAGTCAACCCAATTGTATAATCCCATTTTCTGTTCCAATATTGTAAAACAAAATTTGTTATTGCTGCAATAATATGGACATGTCATATGTTAAATTTCAATCTGTGCCTATACAAAATTACTTAAGTTAAAAATCTCAAGTGTTTATCCCCAGCAGATTTGGCTCAGTGGTTGAGCATTGACCTATGAACCAGGAGGTCACCGGTTTGATTCCCAGTCAGGGCACATGCCTGGGTTTCTGGCTCAATTCCCAGTGTAGGGAGTGCAGGAGGCAGCTGATCAATGATTCTCTCTCATCATTGATGTTTCTATCTCTCTCTCCCTGTCCCTTCTTCTCTCTGAAATCAATAAAAACATATTTTTTAAAAATCTCAAGTGTCTATAGACACAACATTCTGTACTCAGAACCCGCAGGACTGGAATATCTCGTCATTCCAGCTCTGCATTGCTGAGGTGCCTGACACTCAGTGAGGTTCAATAAAAGCTTGTGGAATAAGTGAAATACAACATTTGCCTTCTTTCATATAATGTCTACCACTCCCACTAATATTATAAAGTCATAAAGTTATTCTTCTACCAACTGATAACAGTTTTAAGAGCAAGGCACATACAGTTAATACTTTTTGGGTCTGTTTTCCCAGGAGACTTGTAAGTGACTTATTAGTAAATGAAAGAGGCTCTCTCCTATTTCTTCCAGGAGATGTTAGCTCAGTTCCAAGCAAACTTATGACTTTGAAAACAGTTTTAGCCCTAACCAGTGTGGCTCAGTTAGTTGTGTGTTGTCCCGTGCACTGAAAGGTCACCAGTTTGATTCCCAGTCAGGGCATGTGCCCAGGTTGTGGGTTCAGTCCCCAATCTGGGTGCATACATACGGGAGGCAGCTGATTGATGTTTCTCTCACACATCAATGTTCCTGTCTATCTTCCTGTCTTCCTAGAATCAATAAAAACGTACTAACAATAGTTTTACTTATGCATTAGTTTCTATTCTTGTGCACTGTTTTACCCATTCATCTTTTCTGTAGATGATACATTAATACATTCAAGGAGTTGTACTTTGGAATCAAATTATTACATTGTACATAGTGAACATTCATATTTCTTGAGAGGAGAATGAAGGGATGAAGGGAAAAAGAAAGGAGAAGAAAGGAAGAGAATTAAAATAATGAGGAAGAGGTAGAAGGATAAGAAAATGTCAGCAGCCATGGAAGAAACTTCTGAAATGATAAAGAAAATGACTGGCTTTAAGTCGGATAAAAAAAACCTTTGTCTTAATAGATACTTCCAAAACGGATTAAAATTTCTAAATGAGTTCTATAGTGAGTTGATTAAAATAATAATAGTAATAAGGTGACTTGAAGGACAGTATCAAGAACCAAAGGATAGAATGTGATAAGCTGCAGTATTGTTCTCTTATACTCCATAATCTTCATATAACCCCTTGAAAGGCTCAGGAAAACTCTGTCAGTAGTTCAGCCAAGACTTTTAGACAATTAAAGATATAAAGGAAGTCACCTCACATTGTAAATGTATTTGTTCCGATTCCTTAAAAAGTTCCTAACATGAAACACATTTGTTTGATTTTTAAAATGTAAGTTGATACCACTAACAATTGCTTTTCCTGTAGAGATAGGCAAATAGAAAGAAAAACAGTGGCATACATAAATGATCTCGTTCTCATGAAAATGCTATAGTTCTAAGAATTATTTGTTTTCCAGAAGAAAACATACCGAAATAATACAGGCTGGCAGTGGTACAGCACCCTGTTGTAAGATCAATGACCAAATGGAACACCTGAGCAGGGTGGCCTGAGGTAACTATGAGAGAAGGCGTGCCAACTATAAGGCTTGGTATATATTTTTAAAAAAAAGTCATACTTCCACATCTCCTCCTCCTTGCATTTCATTGTCTTTAAGAAAAAGAAACCAATAAGTTCTAAAAGTTTTTCCTTTTGAAAAATGCTGTTCTACTGCTACTATAACAAAATGATTAGTATCAAAAATTTATATCATAACCCAAAGGCAGAGCTGTTGACTGACTAGACATGACTAGGCTGAGAGCTAGCAGGGAAGCACAAAATGTACAAGCAACAGGGTATCCATCACACCACACACACACACACACACACACACACACACACACACACACACATTACTTTAGTAAGAAGCAAGAGCCAAAAAAAAAAGCTTTGTGCTCGCTTTCTCACGTCTCAATCCATGTTCAAACTCATCCCAGGAATTATCGGGATGACTCCTAGGTGGACGCTGTGAGTGGCAAAGCTGTCTTTACCTCTACAAAGCCTAGCCTTGCTTTTCCTCACAGACTTGGTTTTATAGCCTGTAAGAAGTTCCCAAGCCTTATATGACAAACAACTACCTAATCGTATAAAGCTTTATAGTTAATCTACCATTAGTAGTTAATGGTAGTTAATCCACCATTAAAAAGTCCAAGAAGACTGAGGTTGGTTTTGGGGCCACTCTTCAATTGACATTTTCCATGTTGACTGTACCGATAGTTTGATGTGGGTGCTATATTTTAGCACACGCAGAAAGAATAACTATCAAATCCCACTCAATCTTATAACCGTGATCAATACATGGCTCTCCAGGATCTGTGAACTTCTTTGATGACTTCCTTCAGGAGGAACAACATGGATGATGTAGTGAAAGAGAAAAGGCAGCCCAGTCCTTAAATCAAGCCCTGTGATCAGTGTCACAGTAAGAATATCCCCAACCCAGCCGAGTCCCAGGTGGGAAGAGGCTCGCCAAGGGGTTGTTTCATCAAAGAAGGTTCCTTGATGATGAGCATGCTCTATAGGCATGGTGTTACATTCCCCAAGGATGTCAAGGTAACACTTTTAAAAAATTCCTTTAATCTATACAAATTTTTCATCACAACAAAATTTTTTTCTAGGAGACAGAGAAAGATAAATGCTTGTATGTTATCAAATGACCGACACATTAATAATAATTTTTCTATTTGTATAGTGTTTTATAGTGTATGAAACATTTTCATATATGCCATCATGTCTTAGGAATATGCTAAGACAGGCAGTATTATGTCCATTTTATTGCAAAAGTCACTGAGACTCAGAGAGGTTATATGATTGGCTCAAGGTCACACAAAAAGAGCTAGAACCTGAGCCTGATCCTTTGACTTCATGCTCAGGGCTCTTTGCTTTATTCACATTCTTCACAAGGACAGTAACTTCTAAAGGTGAGCCCAAGGACAAAACAAACAAAAGCTGGCTTTTATTCCAGTCAGGACTGAAAGGCAACCTATCAATTATCTCACAAAGAAGGACTGCTTCTACTACTAAAAAATCTGGGGAGGTTTATGGTTTTCTTTAGTTTTCTCACCATGACTATAACACCAACACCATCTGTGTTCTTCCTACCCAGTTTCTTAGAATTACTCCCATAAGCCAGTCAATACAGAATGGCCATGAACCCAGGGCAATGAGAAACACTGGCCATTCACAAAAGAAATTATTTGGAATCATTTTTATTGTACCTACTCTACCAAAAAAGAAAGCTCAGTAAGAAGAAGCTGATGACCACGAAGGGGTTAATGAATATTGATTTACTCTGCAAAAACAAATAGTCATTGCATGAAACATTTATAATAAAAAAGCTTGCCTACTTTAAGTAGATGAGTCTTAGAAGTTAAATTAGGGCTGTGCTTTCTGAAAAGGAAAACCAGTGTTAATCCAAACCAAAAGTATTATCATGTACATTAGCACTGCTGCTAACTGTGACTTTTTTTTTTCTTGATATCTGATTATAGGCTCTGTCCAAGATTTAAAAAAACAACAACACAATACAGGATTATTAGAAATCACTTCCGACACCAGGGTAAATAAGCAAGGTAAAGGAGGGATGGTTACTTCTTCGCCCCTAGGTCACAGCATTTAGACTGATTAAAATGTTAATTTTTACATGTGAGAAATACACGTAACGGAGCAAACAACTGGAGACCGCACCGTGTGCTAGCAATCATCGCGGGTGGGTAAACTGACAACATGTAACTGCATATTAAGACAAATGTAGAATTTAGACAAAGTATTCCATCTCTTTTCAGATATAGACTTTTAAACCTCAGGAACTGTTTTCAGTAGATGTCATGCCTTTTAACTTGAAAAAAGATAAGCACAAATAAGCTCCCAATTGTCTCCCCAATATGTAAACCACATCTCGGGCTGCTGTCTCTGCTGCTCCTTTGAAGTTACCCTGAAATGTCATGTGTTGTGAAGACTGCTGTGCATAAGCAAGACAATTTGCTCACTCTCAGAATTCTTACCGGTTTCCACTGCTATTTGGTACCCAGCCTCTAGTCTCCGAGATGACCTTTCCAGCCTCTCTGTGTTATCGAGCAGATGTGCCCTCTGAAAAAGAAAAAGGGGGGAAATCAGATGGCCGTCTACAATGTTATTTTTTGCCTTAAAAAAAAAAAGATGCTTTTGTATGCCCTAACATTTTGAAGGGAGGGGGGCACTCAAAACCCCTTAGAGATAATTTTTAGCAAATCTTCCATTATAAGAACCACAACAATGGACAGATTTCCAATCAATCAATTGTGTATGGACCATCCATGTTTTTTGTTTTAAAAGGCAGATTCGTGCTGTGTGTGGCTATAATAAATCTTACTCCAAAACACTGAAAAATGTATAAGACCAGGGCTAACTGGTTCTCTCCTTTTTCAGCAGAGGTAGATGTATGAGATATTTACATAGATCCATGACCCTTAGTTTACACTTATTTTGTATAAAATACAATCATTTAAATCACTCATTTGTTCCTTTGATTTCTGCAGACAGTAATTTTAAAACAGGAACTTTATTTTTAAGGGAATGTCCCTCTATTTTGGATGTGTGTCAAGATACCATAGAGGAGAACATATGCTACTAAAACAGAATACTAAACAGCAGTTCTAGTTAAGACAGCCACCAAGAAACAAGAGGTACATATTCCTCCATGCACACAGATGCACAAAATTATGACTTTATACACTAGATTGAAGGTAAGCTTTTGACACAGTGTTTCAGACTATGAACTAATATAATTACATGCACTCCTTTATATTATATTTAACTGGGCAATTAGAGGATCTTCCCCAGATTCTCAGCTTCTAAACTTTCTTTTCTACAATGAGGTTGGGTTCTTTAAAACCATGATTCTACACCAGATCTATTCAGGTTGACAAACAGATTTGTAAAGTAATCATGACTGTGAATGGGTAAGAATATGTGAATGCATATGTGAATGTGTTTGTGTGTGTGTGTAGATATGTGTATGTCTGATACTTAGAAATATATAAATGTGTGTGCTTATTTGTGTGTGTATATGCATACATGTATTTGTATCAATTAGTAGCTTAACCCCTCAAATCAGTTTTGGTATTTGGTCAAAAGAGAAATACTGCAAGCACAACTCCTACAACTTTGTGTTGTTGACAGATGTCACTTAAAATAGAAGAAAAGCTTCCTCATAATAATAAAAAAGGAGGTGCCATGCGTATTATCTGAGTGGCTGTCGAGTGAAACGATCTACCTTGCTCTAATGAGCCCCCATGGATCTTGGAGATGCAAGCTGTATTGACATGCACACTTAAGCTAATACACCTAGACCAGTGCCTCCAAGCTCTAGCAGCCAGGGATGCTGACAGAATATCTCGCTTCCATCTTCAAAGAAAGGAAGTGATTAGTATGTTATCATTACCATTCAAAACGTGATTTCCTTATTCCCTCCCGGCATAGGTGACACATCTGAGATGCGGCCAGACGTTGGAGGCAGCTAAAGCCACATCAAAGCTTTCCTTGAAATTTTTTTTGGGGGGGAAGGGCTGGGATGGGTGGTGGTGGTAAGAATCATTAAAACAATGCATTTAGAACAGAGAGATAGGGCGTAATGTGAAGGTCAGGAAAGCTGCAACAACAGTCTATAATAATTAATAAAGTCATCTCATATATAGTGGAGAAATTAAGAGAAAACTTCCCCTCCCTCTGGAAAAAAAAAAGAAGCTAAACTAAATAAATAAAAGGGAGGAAGGAAGGAAAGCTTATATCCTGGAAATGTAAAATCACTAAAGGCTGTAATTGAGAAAAAGAAAAGCCAGGGGGGCTGTGTGTTTGGCATTAATGACCATTTTTAAAGAAAATTAAACATTTTACTCATGTTGTCGAAATAGCTTTCTCTTGATTCTCACTACATGCAGGTTTTGGGGGAATAGCATTACTCTTCCCTTCTCTGAATATTGTTTTCTACCTTAACAAAGGACTTCATTTCAAACTGGTGATTCTCTAAAAAGGGATCAGATTTGTGAAATCAAGAGTAATCTGAATTTTAATCCAGAGTAACAAAACAAAGATTTTTAGTTCATTTACAGATTGGATGAAATCCCTAAATTGAAAGAAAACATTTAGCTACTGTAGATTTTTAAAAAGTCCAAGATCAATACTGGAAATTGACAGTCTCATTAGATGATTATATATAATGTAGGAAACAAAGCATTCAAATGTGGAATGATTTTTGGGACTCCATGAAAAGGAACCAAATCAGATTATTCTGAGTATGGCTATGATGGGAAGTAAATTTCTAAAAGAACTTCTGTTTTTAAAAAAAGAATATTCCTAAATAACAGAAATAACTCCTCTTCCGGCCAGTGCGGTTCTATCGGAGTAAATGTGCACACAGGAGGACTATCCAGTTCCCAGCAGCTTTTCCCCAGGACCTCACTTTGTATTTTGGAACCTCTTCACTTAAGTCAGGCTAAAAACAAGTTCTTGTAACAGCTGTGCTATTTACATTGTTCCCTTAGTTGTGCTTTGCCCCGGTCTCTGAAAATAAAAGGACGAACACTACAGTAGCAGCTGAGGCTTTCAACTTGCCCCCACATTCCATCCCAAACTCATTCTCTCACCCTCTCCTCAGCCCTTTCAAAGCAGGTAAGTAATGCTGTGCAGCAGCTTCAGACAGAGCCCGACTTGTGTGAGGAGCTGTGCAATGTGAGAGCTGGGGATGCAGGATTGAAACGGAGCACCAGGCACAGCCAAAGCCAGCTCAGCTCCCGTGCACACCCAGCCTGCCTCCGAGCGTGCCCTGCTTCCACAACTGAGCTGCAAAGAGCATCATCACGGGGAAGGGATGGGGCATACTTTGCTTCCAAACACAACAAAACATCCTATTTCAGAGGAGATGAGTGCCTGTTTTCTTAGGATTGGTACCAGAAAGAAAAATAGGGTACATTCAGTTTGATTCCTATTAGAATCCTAGCTGAGAAACAATTCCTTCTGAGGAAACCATGCACCAATGCACTGACATCACTGTGATCTGTTCTATAAATGTCAATGCTGCATCCATTTCAAAGATTGTTAAAAGACCATTTTAGAGTATATTATTCCATTAGTTGAGTGATATCATTCTTCCAAGTACAACTGCATTGCAGGTTACAGTTTTGGCAACGTGCATAACTGATGGAACTGTTGTGATAGGCACCACAAAATGTTAAAAGAAATGCAGAGGTGATGTTAGCATCTTTTAGAATTAAGATTGCTGTCCACACAATTCAGCTTACCAACAACAGCAAAAAGAGCCTTCTGTCAAAAATGCCGATTGTGATAAGGCAAACACTTTTATTAATTATATTCATTGCTAAATTTAGGAGCCAGAGCTTCGTGTAATGAATTTCCTTATACAGAGGTTTTCAAGTCAATTGTTAGTTCCAATAACATTTGAGAATTCAGATTCTTCACCTAAGTATGAACATATGCAAATATATACAAGTAGATATTCTGTCTTGCAAAAGAAATAACATGGATGCATCATTCCCTTAAGGAATAATCTATATGTCAGAACTGCAATTGATTATATTTGTTCAGTACATACACATCTTCAATGTAGAAAAGATAAAAAAAATGCAAAAAGGTTAGAGGGTGCGGGTTTTGTGTATTTTCACCCTTCATTTTATATATCATTATTACTTTTACTAAGAGAAGACATCACTCATGTATCTTCAATCATCAGAATTGTTGAAAACCACTATCTACAAGCCTCTACACTAGCACTCGCATCACCTCGAGAATGATGGCATAGCAATAAAAAACTTCTAGGAAAATCTGAGTCAATGCAATCTAAACTCAGAAATAATTCACAGTACTCTTAGGATCATAAGCAACTGAACAATTTTTAAATTGTAATATGGGCCATTATTTTATGCTCTAATAAAAAAGTAACAACTCAACCTCACTCAATAAAGAATAAAACTGCTCTGTCTCTGAAATGAGTATCAAAGCATAGTTGATGAGTTTTCTAATTAAAAAGAAATACAGAATCATTCAGCATTCCTCATTGATATGGGGAGAAAATTGTAAGCATTGCTGTAAATATGTGCTGGGCCACACAAAAGTCTTAGGCTGCACTATGAAACAGGCCAGCAAACTCAGGAAAGTGAGAACTCACTTGGGTGCTATTTCCTGCAGAAAGGAATGTGTTTCACAATGATGAGAGCTTTGGCTATTCTTAGGTATCTGTGTACACAGACTAGTAGTGCATTTATAACATATGTGTGTTTCCCCAAAAGGATAATAGATTCATGGTATCTTAGGTTGAATTTTGGGTGAAGCGAAGAAGTTTATTTAAAAATAGTTTTCAGTACAGTAAATCAGGAAAAAAAATGAATCATATTGACTTCTTTATGAAACCAATACAAATAAAACAAATCTGAAGTTGGTCTATATTAAAACTATACTTGAGCATAGCTTTAAGATATTCCTTTGTTTTTCCTCCATTTTTGGCTTTTAAAATATGAATTCCCCCTCTGATGCTAACAAACCACAATGATCACTGAGACAAGCATAATTTGGATAGATTTGTTTTTGAAAGATAATCAGCAGAGAATATGTCTTGCAATATAATCAATACTTTTGCTATGTGCAGATTTTGCTGGAAAAATGAGCCCAAAGATCTTACTCCAGATTTAGAAACTCAATTTTATAAGGAAACGCAGAATTAAAAAAAAAAAAAAGGCAAGCTAAGAAGTACTCACCTCTTCACGTAATTTTATCAACTGCAACATGAATGCACAAAAATAAGATAAAAAGGAAAGAAATGGCAGGAAAGAAAGATCAGTTGTGTGACAGGATACAGAATTAACATTGACAATTTATCTGTTTACATGTTTAGCATTTAAAAATCACAGACAAACACATTAAAAGAACCTAAACATAGACTACATGCAGAGTTTTTTGAACGAATAAAGATCACTTTCTCACACTGTCACATTCAACAAAGAGAATAGTGTGAAATTCTCTTTTAAAGTACATCTAAGACACCATCATGAAATAAAGGGGAACGACTTCATAGAAGTCTATATTATAAAGAAAGAAAACAAGTTTACTGTTCCTCTCTTCTAAGAATGTACCACTGAAAAGGTTTTGTATATACAAGTTTTCAGGATGTTTCTCGATTTTCAATCTTGACAACTGATTTCTGATTTCCCACAAATGAAAATGATTAATAGTTAATGCTTTTGTCCCAATAAGTATTTAAAACAAACTATCATGTAAGTTAATATCATACCTGTACCTACCCTAGTAAAAAGATTGCATTAGGAGATGACATTATTTTAACTGAGAATAAAGCATGCTAGGATAGATAATATTTAGGATATGGTATTAGAAAATATTTCACTATCCTTAAAAATAGTGTGTAGATTAGAGCTAATTTCTAGGTGTTTGTTTTGTTTCAGAGGCTACTGCAGTCACATGGCGTTTCAAAATGTTTTTTTGATGTTCCTTTATTTTTCAATCTTTTTCATTTTGTAAACTGGGCCATCTCAAAGCAATGAGCTCTCTGACTTCATTTGTACTGCAATCTGTTTTCACTAAAGACAGACCCCAAACCACTCTCTACTTGTTAGTAAATTGTCCTGTAACATTTTAATTCTCCTTTGTAGAACATTTTTCTATTTGCCTTAAATATAACAATAAAATAAGTTGCTTAACTCTTTAGATACTAGAAAATGGATATACAATGTCTGACTCATTCTTTGTGTGTGTAGGTGTGTATGTTGGACAGTATTATACAACACAAATGTCACTGTATGGTTGAGATGAATGCCATAGCTTCTGCAATGAACAGAAACTGAAACCTGTGTTGTCAGAGACCATAAACCACATTCTAAGTCTGAAATGTGCATCCTCAGCAATTCAGGGCCACAACTGATATTTTTAAACATCCAAATATCTGTAACATCTGTTGTAACACTTGACATATGCAGGCCAATAAATTAAACTATTGCTTTGGGAGAAACGTGCTATGAATTGCTCACTATAAGTGTCTCTAAAAGTATCATGTTTACTATAGCCCGGATTTCTCAACGCTTAATGCTGTTTTTGTCTCCAATTCAAAGAAGGCAGCATACATTCCAGCCTCTGCTGATATTTCATTTGTTATATGAAAAGTATTTAAAGTACAAAAGAATGAGTTTTCAGAATTGTTATGAAACTCTTATAAAATGGGTACAGAATTTATTACATAATGTCTCGCAGTGCATTTAGTGAAAATGAAACTTTTAATGTCATCTTTTCAAAATATACAAGAAGCTGCCATTAGTTTTAATTAATAAGCTTGCTCACTCTCTCAGCAAACATCCGATGGGTATGAGTAAAGGCCCTCATCATTTTATGTGGAAAGTTACTATTCTTGCCCGGAAGAGGTAACATTTGAAACTCAAATACCTGGCCTATCATATATCGGAATCTTTCTCTTTGCTCTCCGAACATCATGGGAGAAAAAGGCAAACATTAATTCTCAGGAAGAGACGATCTGGGAATTGATCGCACAGCTATCTTTTCTTTCTGGGGGCACCATTCATCACTTGACTATGATACTTAAAGGGCCAAAGTTTAAAACTACTCCTCAGCAATGGAGACCATTTGGGGCATGCCACCCTGCCATAATCAATGAGTGTTTCAAATGCTCCCCATTTGTTGTTTCAATAGGTTCCAAACAAAAACCCGTTCTATCTTGTTTGTGCTGCATGGCTGCGTGCAGGCTCTGCACAGGATTTGTAGCTAAGCTAGGTAAGGGGAGGGGTTTTAATCTCTATCTTTTTTTTTTCTTTTTTTTTTTTTTAAGGGCTGAGAGTTTTCATTCAAGTAAACAAAAGATGGGCTATATTTGAAAATTAACAATGCTTAGACTAGACTGGAAGGAGTGATTTCTTATTTTATCGAGTTACCAGCTCCATCAGAGGCCACATGAAAGTGTACCATGCCACCACGATGAGTTATGATAATCAACATCTTTTTTTTTTTTGAAACAAAGACGTGTTTTTTCCCTCCCTCAATGCAGAATTTGATACAAGAGGTAATCTGTTCCTTTGTGGGCTGAAAACAAAATCTGGTTTACGCTGGTTTGAACCAGTGGAATCTCTTGTGGGTAAGCCTTCTGCTGCCTGCGACTGAAATCAAACCTGCGCTGCGGAGCATGTGCGGCCCATGCGCGCCTCCGAGTGGGCGCCGCGCCACGTGACCCCACAACTCCCCAATTTTTTTTAAAAAGCTGATAACGCGACTGGCGTCTCTGTCCGCATACAGATAACGAATAAATGCTGAACTCTATTAAACGCCCTTTACACATTATCGTGGGTCGAACACACAATTTTCTGAACTTATGATGACAGTCTATTTATTTGGCTATAAACCCTCAGCACGTAACGAACAGATTTGTGCCTGGTAATGATCTGCTCTGCCAGGGCTATATGAAATGATACCGACCTCCTTTAGATCTCGGGGAATTAAATTGACCGACTTCACCCCCTGCTCTGGGGCTGGAGTTTGACACACTTTATGCACAGCAAGCTCAAATCGGAACTTACGAGAACCTCGTATTAAAAAATTAAGCAATCCTATCTACTAACTATTGCTTTACCACCCAACTTCTGGCACGTTTGCAAATATCCTACTCTTTATAGATCTTTCTTTGAACCTTCTATTTAGGATTTACTCGCATTTCATTTACTCAGGCTTATTCATTGATCGATATAATTTTGCATAAGGAAACTGAGAGACTCTTAGGGTTCAAAGTATTGCTTGGAACATTTTATTTGCTCGGAACAATTTATATGCTCCATTACGACACTTTACTATGAAGAGGATTTAATTGTATAAGATGGTTTTTGTTTCTCTGTGTATGTTTTTTCCTTTTCTGAGAATGGTTTTTATTAAACTAAATCAAGATAACTATTAAGGTTTCCACGCTAAATACAACATTGTTGTATTTAAAAACTCAATTCTCTCAAGTTCTAAAATGTGGCTGTATGGGAAACATGACATTTTAAAAGAATAGAATGATAATGCCTAAGACAGCAATCCTTGGAAAGCTGATGACCCAACAATAGTACTCAAATGTGCAAAGTAGGTAATTTTGTCCCATCTTTGTAAATCAGGGATGAACTATATTTGGATATATAAGAAATGGATAGAATCAGAAATAAATTTATACAAAACAATTAATTTGGAATTAAATGAAATTGTGTACTGTATGCGGGGCATTTCCAATCATGGTGGAAATGTTGATATATATATAAATATATATATATATATATATATATATGGAAATTAATATACTCTATTTTTAGCCAGGTTTTAAATGCCTAAGGAAAAAAAACCATTATAAATGGCCAGAATGAGAAATAATAGCTATGGCATTCACATTTTTGTAAATCACCACCAAAAAGTCACAATAGGGATGATATGTATACTGCATAAAAAATAACTAAACAGTCAGTACTTAGATTATTTTACCTATTTTAACCATTGCTATGAATTCTTTATTATTTCTCATCGATAATTAAAAAATTGAGATATATCCCAATTTCAATGAAACAAATATTGCTATTTTTGTCTCATTTTGTTTACTTCCAAGTTTTCTCTGTACATTGAAAGTTTATGATAAGCCAATAAGTTCTGAAAAAAGGAATGTTTCAAAAATTAACTGGAATATAAACTTATTTGTGGGCAGAAAATATTTTCTTATATAAGTGACAGATAAGCCCAGAAAAGACTACCTTCTCTGCCACTCAGCTACAAACACTAACATGAAGAGCCAACTTAAAATCCTTTCTTCCTGTAAGGAAAAGGCTTCTGTTTTAATTCCATCGTCTGAATGAATACAGATGCAGAATAAAGAGTTATTCTCAAGTGAGCATTCCTGTTAAGGATGTTTTAGTTGGAGGGATTTTAATTCCTGTATTATGATAAAAGAACCTAAAACAAAATTTAATTTCTTCAGTATGATATGGAAATTGTTCTATACCTGGTAACTAAATATCCAAAAAGTTAAGTGTGGTCTCTTTGAACTTTCAAACCTAATTCAAATTTTAGACGGAAAAGTTCACATAAGTAATAATCTAACCGTTACATACCCATGACTATCATTTATCATACTCTATTTATGGAAGTGACAGGTCCTTATGACTAAACTTCAGGTTCTCCGAGCACTTTCAGAATGTGTAAGTTTGATTTATACAAGTCCATGGGAAAATCTCTGTGTAATCATTTTAAAGTGACAGGAATATAATTTGCAAAATTCAGAAAATATGAACTCAATCTATTTTTGTGGAATATTTTTCTTTAGGCATAAAAAATCATACCCATATGCACGTAAGACAAATGTTTTAGGCACATAAAATGTCCATTAAGAGAAGTGAACATGCCTTTAAAAAAAAAAGAGAGGGATTCCTGTCATATACTACAACATCCATTACAAGAAAGGAGTCTGAGTTAGACAGGGTACCCCTTCCTTTCCATTTTCTCTCTATTAGGCAGTAGTTTCAAATGAGAGAAAGATCTATAGCTTTTTACAGAACTGACATGAGAACTACGCATTCACTTTTTTTGTAAAAAAAAGATAATGCTTTCTCTGCAGTAAAGATAGGAAATAAAATTATGATTCACTCAATCAAGAGGTATGAGCAACCTAAATCTCACTTAAAATAGGAAGAAAATATTTCTTTCTCATTCTTACATTATTTAATCTATTATGAGCAAAACCCTTTATCACATCACCCTTTTTGTTTGATGTGCTCTGTATAATTTTCCCCCCTTAGTTATTCTTACATTTCAATCAGGAAAGCTGAAATCCCCAGTCAAATATTAAAATGTTTACATGTCTGAACTCACGCTGATAACATCCAAATAGGGGAGGGGGTGAGGTCTTTCCAAAAACAAACCATCAGCTCAGTGATCCTTCTTTCTTTTTTGGGGGTGGATGGATGGGGGCCTTAATCACATAAGCAACACCCCTGTTTATAGTATTAACATTACAGTAAATAGTAACATAGTTTCAGCACATGTAGAGCTATAATTTATGTGAAATGGTAAATACAATTATGCAATTTTACAATGTGTATCAATATTACTTATGTTTTACAATCTTATTAAAATTTTGGTTTACTCAATGAATGATTTATGTTCATTTTTATTTAGGCAGAGCAGAGACCTTTATAACACTTGCCAAAGTAACGTTAATAAACATGCTCAGTTCTTGCTTCTGAAGTTCCCTGTCATTTATTTTCTTTAAAAGTGTCAAAGACAATCAGTCACTAGGTTTGTTTGAGACATTTAAAAAAAATCAATCTCAGCACTGAGGTTCTTGAAATGCTTTTTAAAAGTCATACGTTAACTATATGAATTAATGAAATCTTCAGTATTAATTCAGAGAAAGAAGTGGGACATTAATTGGACTCAGGACACTACTGTGTAACCCTATGAGAATTGACAGCCAAGTTACAGGCCCTTTTAAGAAGAAATTGTACCTTACTTTTTGCTTGTGCAGATCTTAAATTGCAAAACGATTTTCCCATTATTATTACTATTACTTTTATTATTTCACAGAGGCCACTACCTCTATATGCGTATCCAAGTTTCACACTGGTACTTACAATTTGCATTTTACTGAATGTATTTTTAAGAAGCGACACAATGGGAGACTGGGCTGCCCTGTTGAATTTTGAAAGCTTACTTTCATTTGTTTTGCTGCAAGTGTTGATTTAATTATACTGCATTATTATCAAAGCTGCATTGTGTACTTTTTTATTCCTTTTACATGTGTTTGAGGTGAAGACCTTGGCTTTGTCTGCAAACAGTGTGTTTCAAGTTATTCCTTAAGTACTAAATAATAAAGAAAGGAGAAGAAAAGATTTTTTTAAAAGATAGCAGACAGTGATCCCAAGGTAAAGGGTTAAATGTAAGATCTCCAAGAAACATTTTGAAGTTGATTAAGACTCCAGCTTTGCATTAAACAGTATCACTTCCACATGAGTTGCCGCTAATGCTGTTAAGGAGCAGCTTGAGAGCCCAGTGTGCCAGTGACCTCCTTCACCCTCCAGCCACCCACCGGGCCTTGCTGATTAGCATTCTACCTGGCTCTCCGAGGAATTCCCGTCATCCCCTAGGAGCTCATTGCGCACTTCGTCACTGTAGGCGATCCGTGACCTTTTCTGTAAAACAAAACAAAAAGGGAGAGAGCGAGAGGAACGTTAGAAAGTAAAGGCTTCGAAGCATTATTGGTATCAAGGCTGATCATCTCAAACCTCGAGAGCCCCCTAATGGAAACCTATTTGCTAAAACCTGCAAACCAAAGTTGTGTAAAGTTCTTGAACTTGAGAAGTTTAATGTAAATTAGAAGGTTTTCAAATGCCAATAATGAAAGAAAACTGCACTGTGTAAGTACTCCATTAATAATCAAAATGGATCGGAACTGGTATGTTATTCCACACACAGTCATTCAAATAAGAACACCAAGCTGAAGGAAATACAGCTACATAGCTGTATATCTGCAAAACGCACCAGGCTACAATGAAAACAACGAGAGTATATGGGGTTCTTTAATAGTGTGGCAGAAAATGGATTTTACAATTACAAGTCTTTTAAAATCTCTAATTCTAGGATAATATTATAACTGCATACATACACTGGAATGCTTGGGAAATTGTTCATCTATTATTTCATTATTGTGATGTTACTAACTAAAAAGATGAAATTTAAAAGTCCAACCCACTTTGGGACAATAATTTAAATGTCTCCAAGTCCTCTATAAGTAACTAAGGAAAAGTATGGGAGCGTGTGTGTGTGTGTGTGTGTGTGTGTGTGTGTGTGTGTTAAAACGAATTAAATTTCCCAAACCTTGTAAATAAAAGCAAGTAGGCTGTGAGTCAACTTTTCCCAGTCCCAGTAAATAAAGACAAATGGGCCACGAGTCAAGGTTTCACACACAGAAATTCTGTTTTACAAGAAGTCTACCTTTACCTGTAAAGTCAGAGGGACATGTCTACAAGCAACTTCTAAATTACACGCATTTGGAAAAGCTAAAGGCTCGGAAGATTAGTTGGGAAGCTGGAGTGCAGTGCTTAGATGCTGCTGCGCATCGCTACTTCAGGCCCAGATGCAGATTTACGGGCGACTTGGCTGCCTTTTCTGCTTCTGAACTAACTGAGCAAACACAGTTGATTGGAAAACGGCAGTTGGAAAATGGCAATCTTTTTCTCACTTCGGGTCTACAGTGGAGAACTTAAAGTTTCTCACCTGTCCAATTGTGATCCAAAAAGTTATTGCAGTTTGAAAGAACACTCCATAGTCCGTGAGCATAAGTCCACAAGATTTTTAATTAGACTTTTAAACTAGGGAGTAACCCTGCTTTTGCCACATAGAGATCAGATCATAATATCTTAAACATAAACTCATAGTAGAATTTAAAAGGATTTCTGACAAGAAAAACCAGTAGACTTTAAATCACTTTAAAGTTGCAGCCTTTCTCAATTGTGGTTGTTATCTGAACCATAAAACACATAAAATTATTTCAGTGACTATTTTTCTGACTTCTCCCAAAAATGATACGTAAGAGAGAATTAAATTTATTACATAGAACAGAAGCCTTAGGGCATTAGGGCTTAACTCTCTGGCAGAACCCAGATGAAGGGCTGAATGGAGTATAAATAAAAAAATAAATAAATCTAGATACTCCTTTATTATTTGGGGGTGGGGGTGGGGGTGGGGGCGGTGGAGCCAGTTTCATGGTGTTCTAAAGGTAGCTTTGGTTAAACTGAAACTAGAACCCTGGGGTCCTGACTTACAGCTCGGTGCTCATTCTATCACACAAAATTTCCTCACCAGTTTATTGCCCTCTGGATACACTCAGGTAAAAGATGCAAAGAAAATGCAAAATGTTTCAATACAAAGTAGATGATGGCATCCCATCCCTGCCCTGAGTCTCTACCCCAAGCTTGCCTTCCCTGCTACAAATGTCTAACTTATACCCTGGCAAATGCAGTCAGTCTGTAGGTAGAGAACTACAACCAATGATGCTGCAGAGAGGACGAGGGAGAAAAGTTAAGTCATTAGCCCGAGGTCAGTAATGGCATCTATATCAGACATCTCAACAATTCAGGAGTGACCCCCTCATTCACTTGTGAACATGCCAGACTTCTTACCACCACAGACAGCATATTCATGGACCCTGCTTCCCATACTGTATTTACGGAAGCTGCTATTAATTAGCTATTTCTATTAACTTCATCCAGAATTGTACAGAAAAATGTAAGTTACAAGGACAGTATCCTAGTACTTCATGGCCTTACGACGGTAATTAGATCAAGCCAAACCTTTCTTTTGCCCATATGGAGATCCCCACTATAGTCGTTTCAAACTAGCTAAGCCAAAGTATTTTACAGCATTAAAGGAAATGAGAACCTTTAAACAGGCTGTGGTATCAGAGCTGCCTCTTTAATTATTCATTTCATCACTATGGGGGACTAAAACGTTCCCCAGTATGCAAGAATTTCACATGGAGATTGTTTTTGTTTTTCCCCTTTCTCACCCAAATACCAACAAATTGGCATAGATTGTTCAATTACATTATATTCTTATTTTGATTTACTATACTTCAAACGTGGAACATTACAAGCATGTATCCCTAAATATCTCATCTTGTTTTGGTTAGAATCCATTGCTTTTGAAAAGCAGCCATTAAGAGTGTGCATGCTCAGCACCAAGGGGAGAGGAAGGATTTATCCACAGTTGAAGGGTGGTCCCCCTATAGATGCCATTCTTCACCACTGGGATGGTAGACACTGGTCATTCGGATGGCTTTCTGGATGTAATTAAGCAAATGATATGCTGAGTTTACAAAATGTTCCCTGACAGGACTGGCTTTCACTCGAGAATGAAAAGGTAACTCATTTCAAATGTCAGAAATAGTTCCTCATGAAAATGATACAACCAATGCTGGAAACGGAACACTTTACACTTGAGTATCATTTTATACTTTTTTTAAAAAAAAATCAAGACCTGGTTTGATTAAGAATTATGGGGGCAGGAACCAGGTGGAGAGAGGCCATGGGGGGAAGAGGGAAAGACATCTGTAATACTCTCAACAATAAAGATAAAAAAAATTATATTTAAATGCCAGTTACTGGTATTTTCTCCTAATTTTTCATGGTTTGAAATTTTAAGTGAGCTGATTGTAATCAACCATAATGTAGTCTGCAGTATCATCATTAAACTAAATGAATACCAAAAGAAAAAAAAAAGGTAAAGTCCTCTGGGTGACAAACTGCTTATTTTATGGATATTTTTCCTCAAAAAAAAATCAATAAATTCTTTCATTTTTATGGAACTTTTAAAAACCGCACTCTACCTTACTAACTACTATGTCATACTTTCATTTGGAAGATTCAAAGTTAATGAAACTGAAACATCTCCCGTAGCTTGATAAACTAACTGAAATAATTCTACTTTATTATCAACTGTATAAAATCTGTACTTTAGCCAAATGCAAGCATGAGAATTTGAGCTGGAAATGTCACACACTCAGCTACAGTTTGAAGGAACCCAATTCATAATGCATTTTATAAATAGTTAATGACTTCTATACATAAGCTAACCAGGCAAATCAAGAAATTGTCAACATTTTTAGTCTTAGTTGTCAGTTACTACTGACTACTGGTGCTTTATGTGTGGCTTCTGGAGAAGACAGAAGTTCTGTGCAGTTTGTAATCTATTGCAATTTTGGGGTCTGTACCATAAGGGTGGAAAAGCTGCAGCTGACAATATTTGCCACACACACACACACACACACACACACACATACACACACACTCACACAATGTTAAATACAAGAGCATTCCTCATTTTTAGTTGTGTTTGTGTAACTTATACACTTAGGTGAACTAGACACAATTGGAAGGAAAAATCTACACACCATAGGTGAACTACAAAAAAAAAATATGACAAGTTAACAACTGATGGTTATCCTTAAGAAGTTAGATGCACTAAGTTTCATGGGTATTTTAAACTGATGACAAAAGTGAGTCTTTGGCTATGAAAGTGAGAATTTCAGATTCCAAGCAGTTTTCACTTGGTATATGAACAGAACTTTTGCATACTGAGTGGGTAATTTCCTTTAAGCCAAGTTCAAACAGATAGCCTCGCTCAGTTCTATCTGGCAATTTGGCTTATAACAATCTATCTACTTGACCCAAGCCTTAACATTTCCCAACTGAACTGAATATATTCTAGACAGGCGCTGCTAAACTAGAAACAAAATGAAAATTAACTTAGCTTACACTAATTAAGAACTGTGATCTGGGACACCGCCTCCTGTGTGAGTCTACATGTGAAACAGGGTATACATAACCAGGAGGAGGATTCTATGGCCCACCACTAGCATAAGCATAACAATGAAGTTGGGTTATTACCAAAGCGTATATGAGAATTTAATTTCCAAGGAGTGCACATGGCAAAGCAATTGCTTAAATTGCCTCACCTGGGAATTTAATACAATGTTATCATCAGACCAGCCACATTGTAAATAGATTTATAATGCTTTCCATGTGCTGCACTCTGTTGCATATGAATTAAGTAATGATCTGGTATTACAATAAAATCAGCTAGTTCCCACACCTGGCAGACAGGATATTTCACTAAATTAATACCCATACAGCTACATCACAAGGCATGGGAGCGGAAACCATCTCCAAGGCATTCGGCCTGAGTTTTCCAGGGGAGGCAAACACTCCATGGTTATGTACAATGTCGCTATGTTGAATGGGCTGCTCAAGACAATCTGTGTCTAACATCTGTATCACAGAATTAAGACTTTCTCATTCCCATTCAGTTTGGGCCTAATTTTCTTCATTCAGTACTTTAATTACTAATCAGCAATCCACAACATTTGCAAACACTAAGAAAGGCCTTTATTCTAATCTATGTGCTGCAGACAGCCAAATAATTGATACAAAGTACAGTATGGTTTTGGTAAGTAATGAAAGAACAGCTTGTCCTAATTCCTAATCAAATTGGTCTATAGAAGAAATGGTTAATAGATTTCTCCATAGGTCTAAAACAAATTACCCGGTCTGGCCAGACTTTTCCATTGCTTCTACATGTCTTTCAGTCTCCATATATTTAATAATGCTCAAGGTTACCAGGTGATACACCTATT